CCCCATCCCAGCTCCGTGTCCCCAAGGCACCGAGGCACATTTTGGACTCATCCCAACTCCTTGTCCCCAAGGCACCGAGGCACATTTTAGGACCCCATCCCAACCATCCCGACCTGTTGGCGGGCGTGGAGAACACGGCCAGGACCACGGGGCGCCCGTCCAGCTCCAGGATGTCGGTGACCGCTTGGATGACGTTAAAATAGAAATGGGAATCGCCCGGCACGGAGCAGTTGAGCCGGGCTTTGAGGAACGACGTCCACTGCTTCTCCAGCACCCTCTGCGAGCCYCCCATGTCGTTCTTGCACACCCGGGCCACCCGTGACACCACCACCTGCGGGAGGGGACACTTGTCACCACCCTGATGGTTGTCCCCATGTCCCTGTCCCCWCTCTGGGTGTCCAGAATGGTTTGGGTTGGGAGGGACCCGGGGGATCATCTCCTTCTCACCTTCTCCAGGTAGTTGAACTCCATGGCAATCTCCCGGAAGAAAAAGTAAACGTGGCTCTTCCACTCCACAGCGTGCACAAAGTAGGGCTCTGCGGGGACAGCAGGGTCAGGGATGGGTGACACGGGACCTGTGACAGCTCCTGGCACTGCCCAGGGTGGGGGACAACACACCTTTGAACCATTTGGARTCGTGTTTGACGGTGCGCAGGGTGGGGCTGTCCCCGAGGCTGCGGTAGATGACGGCGTCGATGGCCAGGAAATCGGTCACGGTGGCGGTGAAGAGCATCYCCCCTGCGCGGGGACAGGGCGGTCAGCGGGGACAGGGGGACACCGTGCCCGCTGTGACACCGCCGGTGCCACCACTGACCTGTGAACAGGGCCACGTTGGCGTGCTTGGGGTCGTAGGGACACCGGGCCATGCCGCTGATGTTGTCCCCGACGGGCTCCAGCGTGTCCATCTGGAGAGGGGCAGAGGGGACGTGAGGACACCCCCGGGCATGGGGTGACACGTGAGGTCCCCATCCTGGGGGACACAGGCWSTARYTGACCCAAKTTTGATGCTGCAAACCCTTCCTGTGGGTGCCTTCACCCCAAAAACCCTTCCCAAGGGTGCCCCTCCTGCCTTGACCCCAAAACCCCTTCCCACGGGCAAAGGGTGCCCCAAATCCCTGATCCCAAACAGAACCCATTCTGGGGAGGGGTCTCAGGCTGCAGTTGACCCAATTTTGAAGGTGTTTTTGCTGCAGACCCTTCC